TGTCCCGCTTCTTGTTGCGTCACACCTCAACCCGCCTCAAAGCCAACGCTGATTGGAGCCTGCGAGATCAGGATGGTCTCACTTGGGTATAAAATGATAGCGGCACAAACAAAACTTTTTGCTGCACAAACATTTGACACAAATTTTGTCTGATTTGAAGAAGGTGGGGGGCCAACTTCACTCAGGTGTAAAACTGAACTATCAAGCAGTTGGTGTAAAAAAAAAGCGGCACCTTGTGTTCCTGGTGCCGGTCCAGCAGAGCCTCGGCCCCGGCCACGTCATTGGCCAGCTCGTCGGCGTTGATCAGTGCCTTCATCTCTGTCACCCAGCTGGTCAGATCCCGGAAGTCTGCGGTGAAACGCTGCAGCCTGGAGGAGAGAGGGAGACGCCATGAGTGGATTCGCCGTCCCTGATGACGTTCTGGTCCGTCCGTGTGGGAGCGGGTCCGGTATTTACAGGTAGGAGTCGTTGAGGCGGGCACGGCGTTCGGCAGCAAGAGTCTGGATCTGCTCCCAGTTGGTGATGAGTTCGTCCTTCTTGAGGTGGATCTGTGAAGCGTTCTGAGGGTGGGTCTGCTGCAGGCGCTCTGCGTCCCCGCCCAGCGTGTTCACCTGGTGTGGAAGAGGGAGAGAAGTTAGCCGGGGTCAGGGATGCCGACCTGAAACGGGAAGCTGGTGTGGAGCAGCAGAACCTTGTCCTTCAGAGCAGCCAGGTCTCTCTCCAGACCCTCATGCTTCCTCAGCAGAGCCTGAACGCTGGCCAGGTCCCGGCCGAAGTCATCAGAGGCCATCAGCTGCTCCTTCTCCTTGATCCAGCTGATGGTCTCATCCACATCCCTGCAGACAGAACCAGACATCCATCAGAACATCCATCAGGATTAAGTTCAAACCAGAGGCCTGGAAAACCTCCAACAATTAATCTTTACGTCGTTTTAATTGAACAAACAAACATCTGGCTGCATATTATCAGCTGGATTTGGTGTGGACTTTGACTAGGCCATTCTAACCCGTCTGATCTATACTGTCTCATGGCATCTCTGGCTAAAACAGATGAAAGTTTGGGGGAAGTTTCAGTCTTCTGGCTGCGTTCACCTGTTGAAGCGCTGCACCTCGGCCGACCCAAACAGCTTGGCCTGCCTCTGCTGGGCCAGGCCCTTCAGGCGCTGCCAGGCTGCGTTCACTTCGTCCTGCTTCCTGACGATCAGCTCGTTCTCCGGGTGGGCCTCCTGGATCAGCTTCCCGGCCAGCTGGTTCACCTCGTTGACGCGCTCCTCGTGAGCCGCCAGGTCGGTCTGGAACTCCTCAAACTTCTTCTGCAGGAGCTCCACGTGCTCCAGGTCCTGACCCAGCTCCTCAGAGGTGACGATGGCCTCCTGTAGTGAAGCCAGCAGAACTTCATTTAACTCCGTAATCATCAAAACCCTTAATGATCAAACTAGGGATGCACGATATTGGGATTTTGGCCGATATCCGATATGCCGATATTTTAAAACTCATGTAGCCGATAACCGATATCGATACCGATGTT